TTTTTTTGCCGCCGCCTCCCTCCAGACCTTGCAACCTCCCCCGACACAGGCATTTTTATGGGTTCTTTTTTTTTTTTTCTTTTTTTTTTTCTTCCGTTTCCGCCCGACAGGCAGCGCGCGGCGGGGGCGCGGTGCCCGCCCCTCTTACCGCCCTCCCCTCCGCAGCCGCGCGCTGATTGGCTCTTTGCCCCGTCTAATTTACATATCCCCCACCGGCCCGTGCGGCGGCCGGATTTTCCCCTAAAAATGCCTTTTTCTCCCCATTTTCCAAGTTCTGTCTCTCCGCAGCGCTGCCCGTAGCGAGGATCGCCATCTTACGCCGCCAGAGCCGATCGACCGCTGCTCTCTGCGCGCACCGCAGCCTCAATGAATTCCTCGGTGAAGCGCGGTGGATTCTGGGAGCCTTTCGCCTTTAATTGCCGCTCGTAACCGCTCGTTGTTAATTAACTTTACGCGTATTACCCATCGATTAACCGGGCTGAAAGGCCGCGAACCCTCCTTACGCCAATTAACGCCGCTCAATCCCTCCTAGAGCTCATTAACGGGCAGTGCTGCCATAATTAATCGCTCATCCGCCGCCGTTTATTTCCAATCGGGGGTCGGGCGGAGGGCGCAAAGCGCCGCGGCCGCCAGGGAGCGCTGCGGAGCCGTCATTCATCCCATTCGTCCTCGTCGTCCTCATCGCCGTCCTCTCCTTCGTCTGCGGGGGGCGGTGGGGGGTGAGCGGGGGGGATGGCCATGATTTGGGGAGGGAGGATTCGGGTGTCTCACCTGAGGAGTGAATGACGCGGCTCCGCTTCTGCATCACATCCATCAGAGCGCCCACCAGCCCTCCCGCCGCAACTCCCCCAGCGCCGCCTTCGGGGGCTTCGGGGGTCTGCGGGATGGAGGGGAGGTCGGTCAGAGCTGAGCCCGCACGGATCCGCACCCCAAACCAACCCCATTGCAACGCCCGATGCCGCGGAATCGAAGCCCCGGTGCCCCTCGGTCCCCACCTCCCCCTTTCGTGCCCCTCGGGGCGCTACGGCCTCCCCCCCCCCCACTTCCGACCGCGGGGCACCGCAGCCCCTCCCCACCTTGTTCAGCGTCACGCCCTGCCGGATCTGATCCAGGAGCGCCCCCCGCGCCGGAGGGCCGCCCACCACCGAGGGGCTCCCGCTGGGGGGGGGCAGAGGTGGGGGAGGAGGGGGCGGAGCCACAGAGGCGGCGGCACACGGAGGGGCGGAGCCTCGCGGAGGGGGCGGAGCCACGGGTCGAGTTGCGGAAGCCGGGCCGGGTCCCCCACGTGGAGGGGGAGGAGGACCCCCAGACGGTGGGGGGGGAGGCAGCGGCCCACCGCGAGCCCGTGGGGGTCCGGAGGGAGGAGGAGGAGGAGGAGGTGGGGTGGCCCCTCTGCCTTGTGGGCCTGCAAGGAGAGGCATTAATTGCGCTGTTAACGGTGCTGCGGGTCTGTAGGAATCGCTGTCCCCACGGAGCTCTGTGGGGGGCTCTGCGTGGCTCACCCTGGCGCCGCATCTCCTCCTTGACGGCCTGCAGCCCCCCCTGCCCCTCGATGAAGTCGTAGATGAGGCGCGAGGTCTCAGCGTCTGCCAGCTGCGCCTCACTGATGCCGGCGCGTGCGAACAGAGCCCGCAGGTCGGGGTCCAGCGCTGCTGTCTGCACCCACGCAGCCCCTTAGGACCCCTGTGCTCTACACGAGGGGTTCCTCACAACCCCCCCATGCCCCCCCAGCCCATACATACATCAAAGCCATTGGCAGGATCCCAGCCGATGTGGCCGACGTGCCTGGGGGACGACAGAGGGGGCTCAGGAAGTGCCTCACATCTCCCCCCCAGCCCCACATTTCCCCCTTCCATGTGTCCGCATATCACCCCATCAGCGCCCCCCCCTACTCACTTGAAGCCAGACGGGGCTCCAATGTCGGCCTTGGAGATTTTCTTGCGGCCCTTCTTCCGCTCGCTGCCTGCTGTGGGGCTTCCTGCCGTGGGGCCGGGCAGCCCTCGGTAGCGGGAGGCTGTGATGTCGGGGTTGGCGATGGGCACAGCCGGCAACGATGGAGCTGCGGGAGTAGCAGAGGGGGGTTTGTGGGTTTGGGGTAGAAAGTGGCCTATGGGGTAGGAAGCCCCCAAGCTATGGGGCAGGCACTCACCACTGCCATCCATAGGGGCCGGGGGGGGCCGGGGAAGGCTCCCACGACGCTCTGCATTGGAGGGGATCAGCGTGCGCTCCGTGCCCCTCCTCATGTTCCTGTGCCCCCCACCCCAACCCTGCTCCCCACCCAAAGGTGGGACTCACCATCGCCAGGAGGCGGAGGGGGCGGGAGCTGCCGGGTCTCTGCAAGGAGAGGGGGGTGAGCAGAACGCAGTGGGGCTCTGGGGCTCTGC